AGGAGGAGGCTGCAATGCTTGGTAAGAAATGTACGCATTATCCTGCCCATGCAATTGTAACCCCTCTGTACAGTATGTTCACAAATAAAATAAAATTAAAAAAAATAAAACAAAACAAAAAAACCCCAGGTAGCCAGGTGCTGTGGCTCAAGCCTATAATCCTAGCTATTCAGAGGGCTTATGGTTCAGAGCCAACCCAGGCAGACAAGTCTGTTAAGACTTATCTCTAATTAACCACCCAAAAGCAGAAGTGGAGCTGTGGTTCAAGTGGTAGAGTGACAGCCTTGAGCAAAACTGGGATAGTGCCGACCCTGAGTTCAACCTCCAGGACCAGAGCGCACGGTGCGCACACGCACGCACGCACGCGCGCGCACACACACACAAAGCACACTATCTTCCCACATCCTGGCTCTGGCTAGCGTGTGGTGGTTAAGCTTAAATAGCTTTGTGATATTTAGGGAACTCGTTTAGCAGAATGCCCTGTCTCGTCTCCTCTGTCTTCAGTGTCATCAGACTTACAAGTTGTGACTTCTTGTCAGGAAATTCAGAAGTGTTCTACAAACTCCAGGTTTGACATTGCTCAATTCTCTTACACCTCAAAAGGCAAACGTGCGGCGAGCTCTGCTAACAAGGCCGACTGTACACAATGTGGAGAGCGCCTCGCACCCTAGCAGCCCAGACAGTGACAATGCATCACTTGGCCTCTAGAGATTACCTCCAGGAGGTGGCTTCAGAAAAGATGAATGTGAGGAGGTTCCCGTCCAACGTGGAGGGGGGGGGGGAGTTAAAAAACCAAAAAAAAACAAAAACCCCGCAAACTGATAAAAAAGAAATGCCAGTCGTCACGAACAGGATTCGAACCTGTGCGGGGAAACCCCATTGGATTTCGAGTCCAACGCCTTAACCACTCGGCCACCGTGACTTCCAAAACCACGTTCCGCCGCGCGCTTACAGAAAGGGTCGGCACTGCGACCGCGGCAGGCGCGCGGGGGCGGGGGGCGGCCCCGGGCCCGGCGCGCACCGCGGGGCTCCCACCCTTCACTCAAAGCCGGGGGTCGGGTGACTGGGCAGCCCTGGGGTCGGTCGGGGTCTCCCGCAGCGCCAAGCCACGCAGAGGTGGCGGCAAAGCCTGCCGGGGGAGCGAGGCTGGTCGCTCGGGGGTGGAGGAGCCAAGAGGGACGCCGGGGCGGGGGTGACCAGAGGGGCCTCCGGGGACGGACGGGAGGGAGGCGCGGCCGGGCGCCGGGGCCGGGGAGCTCTTCCGCGGGGTCAGGGACGTGGCCAAGGCGCGGGCCACTCGGGGCTCTTCCGGCGATCGGCTAGCGGGATCCCCCGCTCCTGGTTGAGGCAAGGGGGAGGGAAAAAAACGGAAAATGCTTCTAGGTCGGTGCGAAGTGCGGCGAGAAGAACGGCGCCCCCGCCCGTCCCTTCCCTATCCC